TTTTTGTATGAAAATGAAAACGAAAACGTTTTTATTTTCATTTTAGAATCATTTCTGAAAATGCGTTTGGTAATTTAATTTTTAAAAACATGTAATAATATTTAAACTAATAATATATTAAATAAATATATTAAATAAACATATCAACTCATTTCCTTACCTCATCAATCAACCCAAAAACGGTGCCTAAAACAAACGAAAACCCATTTCTAGATGAGGAGGGGGTGGTTAGGGGCAGTGAGGTCGAGGCGGGAGAGGAGGGGGAAAATGCGGAGACTGGTGGGGGGCGCGGTTGGAGAAAATGAAAATGAAAGAGTGGGGGGGGGGAGGGCGTTGTCGGAGAAGACTGTGGGGGGAGGCAGAGGAATTTGAGTTGATTTTTTGATTGAGTTTTTAAGAAAATGAAAATGAAAAACTGAAAACGATTTTCAATCATTTTCAGTTTTGTTGAGTTTTTAAGAATAAAGTAAAAAACGTTTTCATTTTCTGTTTTTCAAGAAATGCTGCCAAACGGCTTCCTCAGAGTATTTTCAGTTTTTGGTTCTTGAAAAACGTGAAAAACGGAATCAAACGGGCCCTAAGTATTTATTGACAATGTAACAAGATACTTGTCAAGAAAAAGAGGCAGCAATTGTTTGTTATGAATTATGTAACGTTTTATGATGTTTAAAATGTCAATGTAATACATTTTCTATGTGACATAGTTTGATAGTATGACGTTTAGATGGAGTATAGTTTATATGTAAAAAGTTTAATTCTGATAATGAACCTATCCAGTTAAAGGCATTAAAGAGATGTAATACGAAGATTAATTTGTGAAGTGCATAATAAATTATAGATATCTTATTCTTGGTCACCATTATCCGTCTCGTTCGTCATTAGCTTCCTCTTCAACTCTCTCGTTTTACATTTGTGTAATTTTACATATTAACATAATGTTGATTTATAACCATATTCGGTTATGAACTGAACAAATATGAGCACAATCTCGATCAAAATTTTTTCATTCAAACATAAACCAACATATTGTAAACAAAATTGGCAGTGGTGGTCCTAACAGAGAAAGCATTCATATGCAAATCTACTATTTACAAACTCTGGAAGAAAGTTCTACCTGCTTTCACGGATACCTAAAAAATAAATACAAATTCTCATTCCATTTGTTTTTTTTTTTACCCCAAACATTCCAAACTTCTTAAAAATCGTGAAAATTTCTATTGTTGATATGCATCACATATAGACAGTACAAAAGAAAATTATTCAAGATACACAACTTATTGAATAAAGTTCTAATTAAGGTTTGTCCTATTAAACATTGAATGAATGGTCTTAGATTTCATGTAAAAATACCAACAACTCTTAAAGGCCAAAATGAGATACAACTATTAGGAATGGTGTCATAAAAACATGAGATATAATAGAATATTTATTATTTATTTAATAAAAGAGTTTATTTATTATTTTATGTGCATATATTATTAAATATCTTATGAATATTATTAAAAATTTCATGATTATTTATGTAACCTTAAATATTATGTATAAGTGTTATATGTGAGAGGATAATATTTAAGGATAATAATCAAAACAATGTTCGTAATGAATTTAATCAGAATCTTTAATTAAAACATGACTAATACATGTTATTCCCATTTATAATGAAATAGTGTTATCCGCACTGTTGATATGGCGATATATTGAATTAGTAGATTACGCATAACGAGATTATGTAGAACTGAGACACAGACACGATTTGAATTTCTGATCATTTTCGTTAAGTAGAGAAATTCGAATTGAGTCTATCGATTGTCATATATAGAATGATCTAAATCTTGAGTTGTTAACAAACTTCTATTTGTGAATTTGTGTCTTTTGACTTACTCGGTACGAATTTTGAGATTGCTAAGTCGTATTCATTGTATCTTGAAGACATGATGAAGTAGGTAGCTAAGAATGTTAATATACGAGATGAAATCCATTCCTTCTTGAGAAAGAAGTAGATAAATAATTCTCTAAAGAGTTGATTTGGTAATTAGATTAGTAGGAGCTCTAATTCATAAATTTGTTTTATGATTCACTATCCATTAGAGAATCAATGGTACTCAAGGACAAAGATGTAATTAGAAATGTTAACGGATTTCACCTAGCTCTAATTATGAATTGGATGTAATTATAAATTATTATAGAGGATTGATCTATATGTAATGACTATGTCAAATGGACGCTTCATAGTTTATAAGTAAATCATATATGTAATTATGAGAGTGTATTCAGAATTAATTAATTAAAGTGTTTAATTAATTATTAATTTTATTAGAATTCAGAATTATAGGTCTATTAGTCCCCATGTCGACCTTGTAATTCTACAAAATTAAAGTGAGAAATAATTAAATATTAAATAATGTAATTATTTAATTTAAATTTTATAACACACACGTGTTGGGGTCCACATAGTGTATTTACTTTGAATTTTCAATAATATTGTAAAGAGCTTTGTGTTTAGCAACCTTCTCCATCGTAGAAGCGGCAGTTGAAAAAGTGGACACCACTCGAAGTGCATTGTTGTGGGAAATCCGTAATGCACGGAATCGTAAGTAATAAAATGATGAGAAAGTATCGTTCATACGGTAATTGTGTTTAATTTAGGTTAATACTGAATTTGATTAACTTTAAGATTATTTGAACAATTGATTAATGAAAAAGATAAGTTATCTTTTTTATAAGTTATCCAATTGACTTATCAAAAAGTTAATCAATGAAATTCAATTACTCACTTTTTAAGTTATACAATTGACTTATTTAATAAGTTATTAAATTTGAATTTAAATTAAATTTGACTTTAATTAGAATTTAAATTTGATTCAAAATTAGACTGCAAGATAAAAGAGGTTTTTTCTCCTTCCCTTATCTGTTAAAACCGCCAACCACAAGGGATAAAGTCCATGTGGTGGCTGGCCTATAGAGGTAGAGAAAGAAGAGGATTTTCTTCCAAAAATAAATTAAAAGTGAGAGATAATTATCAAGCTATATCATGAAGATAAAGATTAGATTTCCTCCAGGTTTACATCGTGCATGTGTTGGTATTCGTGGAAGACTTTGTTTTGAGTGCTAATCCTATTTTGTTTTAAGTGTGTCCACACACACACGTCCTCGTAGATTCAAGAAATTGATGATGAAGATTCGGATATTCGAAACAAGCTTGGAGCGAGGATTGTTTGTGGTCAAAGAATTCAAGTTATCGACCCAATCGTTCACTAGGTAAATTAATTTATGAATTAATTCGATTAATTTATTTACGTATAAATTAATATATTCTATAGAATATCTTAAGAGTTTTATAAAAAATTTTGTTATACACGCTTTTGCATCTGAAATCATTTCCAAAACCAATATAAACAAGATTACAATCTCAAATGGAGACTTCCTCTCTAAGTATGACGTCTATAATATTACAACTACCTAATGAACTTACTTAGTGAGATCTCCTCAACTTACAAAGTTGAAATTCATTCAACACTTAATTTTCCCTCCGTAAACCCAAATTTCTTTTTCTCAAAAAAACTCAACACAAAACAGTTATTTTTTCTTCGATCTCTCCTTCTCTACAGGTGTGCGTTCATCACTCTGAGACACCAAGTGGATTTAAAACCATTCTCATTTTACGTATGTTGTTTGTGAGAGAAAAATATTGTACAGAATCATGAATCGTGATTCAGAATCAATAACGAATATAGAAAATAAATATCTTGCAAGTAAATAAAAAAACAACAGAGACATCAACTATTAATCAAATCACCAGTTGTCAATACGTTGCAGATTTTGTTAAAAAACGAATGGCAACAACACTGAAAGATGCAGAAAATCACGTTCAGATTTCACCAGAGAAAAACAACTGGATAATACTCCATGAATGCTCCATGAATCTGACCGTATATACAGAAATATACAAATATCTTCTTGTAGGAAATTTCTATCAATCATAGAGATTCCATAAAATGATCAAAGCAATTTCAACAATCAAAAAGACCTCATAACCATTCCAAGTTGTCGTCTTCAAAAAGGAAATACTCACAATGAATTGAATTGACAAAACAAACCAATCGATAAAAATGTCTTTTTCTTTTATCACTTCAATATTAAAATAATTGTTGCATAAAAAATGTTAATATTACTAATTTCTTTATTACTTAATTAGTATTGTATAAGATTAAGAAACAATTTCATATTTAATGCTTAGAAATGTAAATGCTAGATTGAGTTATCATGTATATATGTATATGTTTATTTACTTATATTTATAATGAGAAAAATATTAGGTAAAAAAAAGAACTTTTATTGAAACATTATTAAATATAATGATGACGCACGTCTCTCATTTTGACATACATTATTGATCATATATTTATGAGAAAAAGAGAGAAATAGATCAAGACTTGGGATGAATTAAAATTAATAGGCCAAGAGTTTATATAAATTAACAAATAGGTCAAATTACTGTTGTTGTCCATAACTTGTCTGGTTATGAACCATAACTTGACAAGTTATTATTCATAAATCACGATTTTTGTCCATAACTTGTCTGGCTATGAACCATAATTTGACAAGTTTATCCATAACTTATCTAGTTATGAACCATTACTTGACAAGTTATGGCCTATTAATTTCTATAATTAAAAGTTGACCTATATACTTCCTTAAGTTTTTCATATTGGCCTATTTTTTACTATTTCCGTATATTTATTTATATTTTTATAAACTTAAAATTGCACTTTTAAAATTATAAACATAATTTACTTTTAAAAACTTAAACTATCCATTTAATATAATCACTACATATAAATTAATCATCCATAAATAAAAACAATTGTTATGTTCACAAATAAATCTGCCATGTTGTCGAGCATACAACCAACATATGAAAATAGATTTGTTAAACAAATGGAGGAGAACAAAAACGATGGCCATTCCATCAAAGAGGCTTCAGAAAACGGAGAAAGTAGTAGGAAACAAAAATTAAAAATCCAAACTTTTTCTAAGTATTTTGTGAACACATGTGTACCATACACATTACATACAATGAATTCAGCGCAAAGGATTTTTGGGGCTTCCAAAAGCACTACCAAACAGGCCAAAACAACTTTATTCTATTTTAAGTAATAGATAGTAGGATGAAAATGGAATAGGCCATGCAATGAACAAACAAACGATGCGTGAAAGTGGCTATAGCCCTTAACCTTAGGTTTGACACTATCCAAGTCGTTATTTCTATTAGTTTGCATATATACTACTTATCTAATTTATTCTCCAGTTTGTTTTTTCATTGACACAGTATGTCTTTTTACGCCAAAACCATTTGTCTAAGCAGTGCCTGAGGAAGGAGCATCTGGCTGCTTTTCTGGCAAAGCATCTCGAAATGCTGGTAGCTGGCTGTAAGCCTCATTCAGCCTAGACAGAAGAGGGAACTCTGTCTGCACAAAGATTGAGGGAAGAAAAACTAGTCATGAGTAGATAATAAGGAGAACAGGTTTTTAGCTAAAGACAAAAGGGAAGCAAGGAAAGAAAGACTTGTAAGTTGTAACAGTTCTAAACATAAAATAACTTAAGTTTCAATTCAAATAATAGTATGACAATCCAATGTCTTGAATTAATGAGAATAAATATTAAAAGAGTATGTTTCAAATTACAAATTACAATATCAATTAGGATTCAAAATGTAAACCCTCACATGCAAATGGGTGGGTGTCCAACCCAATCCAATATTTTCACCACAACCCATCCTATCCAACACTACATTGCATATTTAAATATTAGATCCAATACAATGCAACTTATGTTCAAAATTCAGTCCAATCCAATTCAATTGGAGTTGCCAATTGAATTTGGATGTCAGTTTTTTGGTTTTTTCCCCATAAGCTAATTTGCAATCTTAACATATGAAACCATCTAATTTGTAATTAATTTAATAAAAACAACATATGAATCTTAAATAATAATAGGACAATCCAATGTCTTGATTTTGTACAAATCAATATGACAATGCTGTAAATTAATATAGATTCCCAAATGCAAATGGGTGGGCATCCAATCCAATACAATGTTTTGTTCCACAATCAATCCTATCCAATACTAAATAGAATTCCTGAATAGTTTTTGAAATTCCTACATATTATATCCAATCCAATTCAACTTATGTACAAAATCCAATTCAACTTATGTACAAAATCCAATTCAATCCAACCCTTAATCCAATTAGAGTTGGATTGTAAGTCGGCTTTTTTCCCTTGAGCTAATTTGCAATTTTAAAATATAATTGAATGAAACCATTAATTTGTAACTTTTAATAAGACATCATATAAATCCTCTCACAAGTGATTTGGAGAATAGTTGGTAAAATTTAGAGTTTTTTACAATTCTCCTAGTTGACTTCTCTCTTTTTCTACAACGGAATCACATGATATAACAATGTTCTATGGTGGCTGTCAGGACTTGGGATCACCTCTGTGAAACTATCAGAATGATATAAATTTTATGGCCAAGTAACTTTAAGCTAATCAAGTATGAAAGAAACTGCTCTCGAGTAATCAAAAGTTTGTACTAAGGGCAGGTGATGAGTGCATAATTTATGCACTCATTCGTTACTCCTTTAGCTAGTTTCAGCGTGTTTTTCCTCAAGTTTTTATGTGGATTTGATGATTTTCCCTTGAGTGTGCAGTAATGGGTGAAATCGCTGAGTTTTGAGGCATTTTGGATAAAAAAGACAGAAAATGAGGCGATACGGCGCCTTCAGATGGCGATGCGGCTCGAAAAGGAGCAAAATCGAGCAAACCTGTACGAAGGGACAGCAAGAGGCGCGATACGTCGCCTGTTCTAAGGGATATGTCGCATGAGTCACCCAATTTTATTAGAAACACGCGTTGCGCAAACTTTTATGGAAAGTCAAAATTGGTTTCTTTGGAGGCGTGCTGGACATGGAATATAAGGGGTGACTGAAAACTGAAAGAGAGGGGGGAGGAAAAACAAAACAAAATTGCAAAGGAAGAAAAACAAAAATTGGAGAGGATTCCAGAGGGAAATTGGAGCGATTCTTCAAGAATTCCAAGCGTTCTTCATTCTCTTCTTATCTTTCTTCTTGTATTTTTCTAAGTTTTGAATATTATTTTGAGACTGTGAACCACATGATGTGTGCCTAATTTTCCTAATTGTTAGGGTTTAGATGAATCTCTATTTGTGATTATTGTTTCGACGTTTTAATGTGCATTTAATTAAAATTCTTCGTTTCTTTCGTGTTCTATTTTGAATTGTTGCTGCCAAATCTATGATTTACATATTGCTATGCTTTGTGAGATTGTGAATTGGGCAAATTTTGATTGTAAGGATTAATACTCGAGAGGGGAACGTTCAAGCAATCAAGAAACGGGTAGAACAACTTAGGTTGGTGTGAGGTCGAGAGATAAACATTTCCTAGGTAGCCGAAACAGTTTTAGGTTGTGAAATTGAGAAGTGGAATTCCAAGAATTGTTTCTAGAGTGGTGCTTAATGAAGGTAGGGGTGAATAGCTGTATAGAGATATAGCCTTGATATCACCTATACATTCTTTATGCGGCACTCGAGAGAGGGTATAAGGATACACAGCACTCTACGTTCTTGAGAACGTTGAACTAGGTTAGGCACATTACTACGGAGAAATATAATCGCAATAGAGTGAAGTTGAAACCCTAACATTGCCATCATATTGATTTTTCATTTTAATTTCACCGCATGTTATTCAGTACTGTTATATTTTCTTTTAATTTAGTTTTCCTTTATTTTAGTTTTTCTTTGAGTTTATCACATTCAAATTTGATCGCTTAGATAAAGTTAATATATGATATTCGCAATAGTTAGTTTACATTCTTAACGTCAATCCTCGTAAGACGATATCGGTCTTCGGACACTTTATTACTTGTACGTCTTGTGCACTTGCAAGTATAGTCAAATTTTTGCAACAAGTTTTTGACGCCGTTGCCGGGAATTGAACGGCTAAGATTTAGACTACTATAATGAATAAATATCTTGTTTTAATCTAAGTTTTTTTTTTATATTTATTTATCTATTTTTCTTTGGTTGTGTTCGTAGGTGCATGCAAAAAGCACGTGGCTCGGAACTCTTGCCTTTGGATTCAGAAATCGAATGAACTATTCGGGCTTTGAGGAGAGAACAACGAGCTAGGGCTAAAAACATGGCCAAGGAACTAAACCAATTAGACCAGCAACGGACGTTGCGAGATTATTTCAAGCCTGTGGTGAACGAGAACTATTCGGGCATCCAACGTCAACAAGTCAATGCCAACAACTTCGAGCTCAAGCCGGCCCTCGTCAATATGGTCCAACAGAACCAATATGGACGCTTGCCGCACGAGGATCTCAATATTCACTTGGCTACTTTTCTGGATATTTGTGACACAGTCAAGATTAATAGGGTGAGCACCGAGATCATCCGTTTGAAACTCTTCTCATTCTCCTTGCGGGACCGGGCTAGGGCATGGCTTCAATCTTTACCATCAGGGAGTGTAGCCGCATGGGAGGACATGGCCTAAAAGTTCCTTATCAAATTCTTCCCGCCCTCCAAGACATCTCAACTAAGGGCCGAGATCACTCAATTTCGGCAATTTGAGTATGAACAATTATATGAGGCGTGGGAACGGTTCAAGGAGATGCTCCGAAAGTGTCCTCAACATGGTATTGAGGATTAGTTCCAAGTGCAACTTTTCTACAATGGGCTTACTGGACAAACAAAGGCCCATATTGATGCAGCGGCCGGTGGAACCATCTTGTCAAAGACACCCGGGGATGCACTCAATCTCTTTAAGGACATGGCAATGAATAGTTGTCAATGGCAAAACGAGCGGTCCACGGTGAACAGAGCAGCAGCAATTTATGATGTGGATCAAACAACGTCTCTCATGGCTCAAATGGCGCTCTTGACTAATCAAATCCAAGGTCTTACCGTAGCCAATGCAAATGGTAATCAAGAAGCGGTAAAGATGGCACAAGCTTCGAACTCGAGTGATTCATATGATAAACAATATCACTTCGTCAACCGTAACTACTACTTTAGGCCCAATAACAACTTACCGACATACTATCATCCTGGGCCCCGTAACCATGAGAATTTCTCTTATGCCAACAACCGAAATGTTTTACAACCGACCCTGGAGTCGAGTAAACCGGCAATCGAAAAGCCCTCCTCATCACTTGAAGAACTTTTGAAAACGTATATTGTGGACTCTAAGACTCGTCTTGATCAACATGACACACGTCTCAACAACATTGAAATTCACTGTACCAATTTAGGGAGCACTATGAAGGCACTAGAAACACAAGTTGGCCAATTAGCTAATGCTATAAAAGGGCAATCATCATGGTCCTTCCCGAGCGACACCGAGAAGAACCCAAAGGAGTGCAAGGCCATCACATTGAGGAGTGACAAGGAGCTTGAAGGCCCTAGTGTTCAAAACGCCATGGTTGATGAGGAGCCTACCAAGAGCAACAACAATGGTAACGATAAGTCAATGGAGGAAAACCTGAAGGCCAAGAAGGAAACGCCGGTGGTTAGACCGGGTTCGATCACTTTTCCGGATAATCCACCTCGTATCACTCCCCCGTTACCATTCCCTCAACGGTTCCAGAAGAAGGCGCTTGACTAGCAATTTGAGAAATTTCTCAATATCTTCAAGAGGATCCACATCAACATCCCCTTCGTGGACGCTCTCGAGCAAATGCCAAACTATGCCAAATTTATGAAGGAGGTTATGTCGAAGACGCGCAACCTTAAGGACTATGAGACAGTAAAGCTTACGGAAGAATGTAGCGCTATCATAAAGAGACAACTACTAGAGAAATTGAAGGATTCGGGTAGGTTTACCATCCCATGCATCATTGGAGAACTTCACATTGAGAAGGCCTTGTGTGATCTTAGGGCTAGCATCAATCTCATGCCCCTCTCTATCTTCTAGAAACTCAACCTTGGAGAGATCACACCTACTACCGTCTCACTACAATTGGTGGACCGCTCTCTCACCTACCCTAAAGGTATTATCGAGGATGTCTTGGTTAAAATTAATAAATTCATTTTTCCGGTTGACTTTGTGGTGTTAGACATGGAGGAGGACCAAGAAATTCCTATTATTCTGGGCCGACCTTTTCTTGTTACCGGGAAGGCTTTAATTGATGTCCATGATGGTAACTTGACACTTCGGGTGAATGGTGAAGAGGTAAAGTTCAACATTAGCAACGCCATGAAATTTTCGGACGAACAACCAAGTTGTAACCCGGTGGATGTGGTGGCCCCCGTGCTTAAAGGACTTCTTGCAGACCATTATTTATAAGGACCCTTTAGAGAGATGTCTTTTAACACCGCTCTCTAAAGGGGATCTCGGGGTGGAGTTTGGTGCGTGTGAAGTAGATTTGATTAATAGTGTCTATGCTCTAGAGGCGCAACCGGGAGAGAAGATACAAAGAGGAAAGAAACATGCCTTCAAAGTGAACGGACAACGCCCTAAACACTATTTTGGAAGCGAGGTGGAAAAGATTGCGAGTCTCAAGCTCGTCGAGGACATTTGAAACATGAAGTACTATGTCTAGCTAAGGACTTTAAACATAGCGCTTCATGGGAGGCAACTCACATATGATTTTTCGTTGATTCTGTGTCAAATGGGTTTCATTGTTAAAAAAAAAAAAAAAAGAAGCAAAACTGGAGAGGGGGGATAGAACGACAGGCGATATGTCACCTGTCAAAAGGTGATATATCGCCTGAAGGCTTTCGACAGCCATATCAGTCTCCAGGAACCTCAGATGGCGAGCCCGACAGTAGAATTGATGATGCTGGAGGAGGTATGGCCGATAACACTTAAACCTACCGGGAGGTATTGTTTTTCTTTCTTACCCGAAGGACTTGTCGAGGCGAAATCCTAGGTCTTTGTTGTGTTGATAGGATAGAGGCCCTCTTTGGACCGTTTGAGCCAAAAAGCTAACCCGAACAACATGTTATCCATTAAGTCCCTCTTTGAGCCGAAAAAAAAAAAACCGTATTCATTTGTTTTACCGCCTGATAACCCAAGCCTTGCAATGTATCATACATTACCTTCACCCACTCACATTGGCATCACACGTGACCCTTTCATCGAGCGTCGAACGCCTGGCCAGCGAGAGTCGTTAAGTGAGGAGTTTTCTGAGACTGTCCTTGAACCTTGACATTCATCCCTCGCCGTTTTAAGTGCCAATTTGACTTCGTTAAAAAAAACAAAAACAAAAAAAAAACAAAAAACAAAAAAAAAAACAAAAAACAAAAAAAAGAGAAAAAAAAAAGAAAAAAAGAATTCAAGTTTGGGGATGTGACATAGTGGGGGATTGTGTTTGTGGACGTTACATTCGAGGGTGAAGAGGCGAATCTAAAAGTAAAGGGCATTGGTTTCTGTTCGGTGAACGGAGGAGTCTATTATTGCCACCGTACTTGTCTAGGGTGAGTTTGCTTTTCTTTTTCCGATTCTCATCTATCCTTAATCTCAGCCTAACGTTACAAGCCGAGTAAAGTCCTCTTGATATCCATGACATTTGACCTACATTAGTGGAGATGAGTCAGACGGGTGAGCCTATGGTCGTTCTGTTTTTAATGTTTATCTTGCGATTTGTCTTGATACACATAAGTCACATTTGTGTTTAGGTTTTGTAGAGATGATTTGCACACACTTACACGGAGATGACAGTGTCAGAAGTTGAGTATTGGTGGGTTGAAATTTTAGTCCTTTTCTAGATTCACATGTCGGGTGGGTGAAGAGGTGTTTGGTAATTTGAGATCATATGCCTGAAGTCTATGTTTACACCCTCAGTCAGTTCACCTTTATTTCTTTTGTTTTGCTTTTAGTTCATCATTTTAGGTTGTGTCGTTTTGTGTTCATTTGTCCATTTCCCATTTTGTGTTTTGTTTTATGTTAGGTTTCTCTGCTTGAGGACAAACAGCTGTTCAAGTTTGGGGGTGTGATGAGTGCATAATTTATGCACTCATTCGTTACTCCTTTAGCTAGTTTCGGCGTGTTTTTCCTCAAGTTTTTATGTAGATTTGACGATTTTCCCTTAAGTGTGCAGTAATGGGTGAAATCGCTGAGTTTTGAGACATTTTGGATCAAAAAGACAGAGAATGAGGCGATACGGCGCCTTCAGATGGCGATGCGGCTCGAAAAGGAGCAAAATCGAGCAAACCTGTACGAAGGGACGGCGAGAGGTGCGATATGTCGCCTGTTCTAGGGGATATGTCGCCTGAGTTACCCGATTTTATTAGAAACACGTGTTTTGCCCTAGACTGGTGCGCAGACTTTTATGGAAAGTCAGAATTGGCTTCTTTGGAGGCGTGCTGGACGTGGAATATAAGGGGATGACTGAAAACTGAAAGAGAGGGAGGAGGAAAAACAAAACAAAATTGCAATGGAAGAAAAACAAAAATTGGAGAAGATTCCAGAGGGAAATTGGAGCGATTCTTCAAGAATTCCAAGCGTTCTTCATTCTCTTCTTATCTTTCTTCCTGTATTTTTCTAGGTTTTGAATATTATTTTGAGACTGTGAACCACATGATGTGTGCCTAATTTTCCTAATTGTTAGGGGTTTAGATGAATCTCTATTTGTGATTATTGTTTCGACGTTTTAATGTGCATTTAATTAAAGTTCTTCATTTCTTTCGTGTTCTATTTTGAATTGTTGCTGCCAAATCTATGATTTACATATTGCTATGCTTTGTGAGATTGTGAATTGGGCAAATTTAGATTGTGAGGATTAATACTCGAGAGGGGAACGTTCAAGCAATCAAGAAACGGGTAGAACAACTTAAGTTGGTGTGAGGTCGAGAGATAAACATTGCCTAGGTAGCCAAAACAGTTTTAGGTTGTGAAATTGAGAAGTAGAATTCCAGGAATTGTTTCTAGAGTGGTGCTTAATGAAGGTAGGGGTGAATAGTTGTATAGAGATATAGGCTTAATATCACCTACACATTCTTTATGCGGCACTCGAGAGAGGGTATAAGGATACACAGCACTTTTGGTTCTTGAGAACGTTGAACTAGGTTAGGCACATTACTACGGAGAAACATAATCGCAATAGAGTGAAGTTGAAACCCTAACATTGCCATCATATTGATTTTCCATTTTAATTTCACCACGTGTTATTCAGTACTGTTATCTTTTCTTTTAATTTAGTTTTCCTTTATTTTAGTTTTTCTTTAAGTTTATCACATTCAAATTTGATCGCTTAGATAAAGTTAAGATATGATATTCGCAATAGTTAGTTTACATTATTAACGTCAATCCTTGTGGGACGATATCGGTCTTCGGACACTTTATTATTTGTACGACTTGTGCACTTGCAAGCATAGTCAAATTTTTGCAACAAGTTTTTTCAGGCATAATTAACTCCTCATACAAGCAAAAATTTAAGTTATTCTGATTTCAAAATAGTTTTGACATAGAGAGCAAAATTAGATCCAAGCAGTACGTGCTGATACCTGCAATGGAAGATCAAATGCGTCTAGGAATTTGAATTTTTCTTCGTTATTTGCTAAAGATAAATTAATGCTACAAATAAAACATGAACATAAACAAGGGTACCGACAAGAAAAAAAGTCGCAATTTTTTGGTGTTCTATAATCTTCTCTTTTTTATTTTTTATTTTTTTTATTTTTTTTTTTGAAACAAGAAACTTTGTAATAGCGTTAGAAAAGAAGTAGTACCACGTCAAGGTTGAACCTTTTAATAGCAGAATGGAGCTGGGGTGCTAAGAATAAATCCGCCTGCAAAAAGTGATCAATATGTCAAACAACTTCAAACAAGGTAAGCATAACATAAACAGGAAAAAAATAATGACAAATTCATACCAGAAAAACTTCGTCTCCAGTTGCATATCTCCCAGCCTGATCTTTCAACAACTCTTCAAGTGCTGGAACACAAGAAAATAACTAACATATTAAAGCTTGAGATTCACACCGGCTTGTAACGACAGAAAACTAAGTTTAAATCCTTGTAGTTCACGTGACGTTACATACAACATGATTCATATCATAAAACATAAGACTTTTGCTTTATCAAGACTGAAACTAACCGGCAAAGCCTTTTCGAACATGATATTGAACCCACGGAACAATCTCTGCTTGCCCCACTTTTTGTTTGATGTAGTCCTGTAAATGGAAAAGCAGTAACATCAGATTTGCATCATTTATGAAAACCTGGACTCATCTTGACACACCCCGGGATAATTAGAAGCGGAAATGAATCCAGACAATTACCATTATATCGAGATTCTGAAGAGGCTGTATGCTCGAGGAAACAATGTTTGCCGCCTACACAAAAACAAATAAAAAAATAATAAAAAAAAACGAAGATCATTTGAAATTCGAAATCTACCTACAACCCTACCCTAGTCAAAATCACAAAGAAGCAGAGCAAAGTGTAGAACGAAAACAAAATAAGTGAGTAATTAACTAAAAGTTATCAGGATTTAATAGGACTTCAGAGGGGAAAAAGGCTCTTCATTGTGTTCTTTAAGATATCCAAGAAGGAACTACTTTGTCACCACTGAGCAATCTAAATGCTTGTATCCAACAATTGCTGCCTTTTATTGATCTTCATAAAGTCAAACTGCTAACTTATTTTTCTTTTTTTACCTTCTTTATATGTATATGTTTTTTCATTTTCAAGGGAAAACTTCATTTAGCCACCATCCTTGTGCCATATTTCAATCTTAGCTCCCAGCATGTGGTCTAAAAAACAAAAATCACTTTATTCCCTGATGTTTTTCTCTCAGGTAAGCTTTGATACAAAAACTAAAAGGACAAGTCTCTTAATCTTTTCAAAGCATTGTACGTCCACTTGATTAATAATACGTAATCAAATGAAAATTACTTTCAAATTGAAAGAAATTTAGAAAAATAAAAATACAGAGAGAGAGAGAGAGAGAGTTTGTGCACCAAGGGAAACTTTACAACCTTTAAGGGCTTACATTTATACGTCAACATAGTTATTTAGTTTGTTAGTGAATCAATCACCAATAAAATGCTGAGAATGAAGAAAAATCAGGCAATGAGCCAGAAGCTATTGACTGAATTGTAAATATGCCATGATGATATCTTATGAGAGAGAATATACCTGCAAATTAATGGCTTTTCTTCTCAGATCACTTGGCAACAGGGGATGCTGAGGGTACTTCTCATCCAAGTACTGATCATATTCAATTAACCGAGTGTAAAATTAAAGATCTAAATTGTAGCTAGTAATAGTAATAACAAGTTATTTTGTTTACTTTGCTTTTTTGGGGGCAAAAAAACAAAACACTAACCAATAAGATGGCAAGAGAATCAGCCAACACCATGTCCCCATCCACTAGTACTGGCACGTATCCAATTGGATTCAGCTTCAAAAACTCTGCACAAGATCAAGCACATCCCAAAAATAACCTTCTTTAATAAAAAAAAAGGGTTAATCTCATTTTCAGTCCCGAGCTATAGGTCAAATTCTATTTTAGTCATCCACGTTAACACTTACCAAATTCTATTTTAGGTCAAACTATGGGCCAAATTCTATTGTAGTATTAAACTGATAAATTTCAACAGAGGAAGACACGTGAGAGTGTTTAGTGGGGGTTAATTTTGCAAATTTACATGTTAGGGAACAACTGAACAACAACAGAATTATTACGAATTAGATGCCCTAATTCTAATTACTGAGAGTAATAAAAATGCAACAACAAAAAAAAGATATCAAGCGAAAACAACACATTTATAGGAGTTTGCTACTTCCTCTTTCAGCCGCTGCAATTTTTCCACTATGATCAAAAAGAAATTACAAGAGAAAAATAACACACCTCTTAACTCTCCGTGCTTTTCTCTACCTCTCTAATAATCAACAAAAAACTGCACCCCCTTTTTATAATGAAAACTAAGACAACCGAATTTCACAAGTGTAAAATCCCCAAACCATCCTTAATAAATCATCATGACAATTAATTAGGCTACTCTGAGAAAACTTGATAGATTGGGAACTCATTCTAAGACACTCTAAAAGTCAGGGGATAAAATGGTGGAAGAGGATTAATCCAAAAAGAAATCCACTGGAAAAAGCGATTATGCTAAAAGAGAGAATTCTACATTAAGATAAGAAAAATAATATACCAATAAGAACATAATCTTCAACCGTCAAATCTTTCTTCAATTATTATTATTATTATTATTATTATTATTATTATTATGATCTTGAGATGACATTCAAAACTGTCCCACCAGTTTTCATGCCCTAACAACAGAATTCTCCCACTAAAATTCACTGAATGTTGACGAAACGAGACAAAAACCTGGACTGCGTTGCTCTCCCTTGAGCAGGTTCACCGGTACATACTCGTACTTCAACCCTACAATTTCACATCAATTTTCACTTTTTCTTCTTTCAAATTTCAAAGGATGATTATAAAAAAAAAAAAAAAAAAAGTGCAAAAAAACTTCAAAAAATAAAGTTCTAGAAACCGAAATAGAACGTAATTACTGAAATGAGTACCTTTCAAATTGAGAGCGATTCTCACACGGAAAGAACAAGAACTCCTCCAATAGGAATAAAGCTTCAGATTCGCCTATTTTTCAACAGTGAAAACCAAATTACAGAAAATAAAATAAACAGAGCGAAGAATTATTAAAAAAATGTTTAAGTTGCGAAAATTTACCATAACGAAGCAACAGCAACTGGGAACGGTACGGAGAAACTGATAGAATCTTTGGTTGGCGCTTAACATCCCTTTTATAGCTAGTCCTTATGTCTCTTTCTGTTTTTTCTTTTTTTCTATTACTATTATTATTATTATTCAATTTGATCGTCATTTTCGATGAGAAAATCCCAAGTGTCTTTCTTCTTCTGATTTCTCTGACAGCCAGTTTGAACACAGAGAAGGCTACCAAAAGAGCGGTGCACAGATGAGATGAGGCATGAAATCAGCGATTCAATGGCAACGCAACTCATAATTGTTAGTCTCGAGGATAATTGGTCTACAACACGCCATGTTTGTCGCAATAGATAATAATTTTAAGAAAATTGGAGCCCTAGCCTAGATTATTACCTTTTAAACTAAGGCTTAATTTGGTCCTGTTATAGATTTTACAAAAAATTGTTAAATATTTAGTAAATTATAATTATAATAATTGTGTTAATTTTAAAATTAATATAATAACGTTTAATAAATTATAAGGTTGAATTATTGTATATAGTTAAAAATTACGATTAGATTATATTATATTATATTATAATATAA